TATCACTAAATTCGAAGAAATATATTCTGAGCTATTTCTTACAATATAAAAAAATCTATAGAAAAATTAAGTATTGAGAACGGAAATAATTAACATCATGTTGGACACACGATTCACATGGCTTAAACATGTTCAACTGAAAAGAATTAGCTGTGCCAAAATTCTTCATCACCCCCAATCGCTATTCAGAAATGAAAATCTCAATGGTAAGAACAGGAAGCTGATATATAACCAAATAATTCGTCCGTCACTTCTTTATGGATGTGTAGCGTTTACCAAAGCTCGGTAGAAGAAAAATACTGATCTCATTTAAAGGTGCATAAAAGGTGAAAAGGTAAACAATATATGCTTAATTTTATAGTATATCAATACATTTACATTTTCCCAGTATTAAAAATGAAATTAGAAATAACTGTTCAATTTTTACAAATTTTAATTAATTAATTAATTATTAGTTCGTATTTTAATTTTTATGTATTTTATTTTATATAAAAGAGTTTATACACGAAAAACACAAACAAAATCTTAGCTGACAATCGGGAGATCTAATCAATAGCAGATTTTTCAGTTGGTCTTTAGAAAACCGAAAAGAGCTTTCAGCAAAAGACCGCTGCCAGAATACAAAAGATCTTTTAAGCGATCTTTCGCAAGATTTCTGAGTGTGATGAGCTGAAAGATTGTTGCCAGAATTACCTTGTTAATGTATAGTAAATAAATTGACAAAATTTTTGTATGTTTTTTGTGGTAAAACAAAAATCAGTTTATGTGCAAAAGGCCGCTCAAGTATTATGTAATGTAAATATTTTTTATTTTAATTATGAGAGGAAGTATAAGTTATGGATGTACTTTTACCAATAACTAATTTTTGTTTTGCTAAAATAATATTTCATAATTTATATTAATTAATTTTTTACTATATATTAATTGCCATTAAAATATTTTAAAAATATTAATCAAACAAATAAAAAATAAAATCTTTCTGTTATAGCTCAATGAAAAGCGTACTTAGCGCCAACGTTAACTATGTCTTAAAAAATATGTATATTGATATGATTTTTAACGTTAGATGGCGTTGATTGATATTTGACATTTCCATATGATAGGTAATAAGGCTCTTGTTTTGATTGTTTATCAACAGCACGTGTATAACTTGAGAGCGGTGCAGATTTTTACTGATATTTAAGGAAATGGAATTGTTTACTGTACAAAGGTATTTAAACACAAATAATTATAAATATTTATTATAACTTACCAATTAAAATAGATATACAGATGATAAATTAGGAGAAAACAGTAATAAAGCTGAGGATGAGATTTTACAAAAACTACTACAAAAAGTAGAAAAGCGAAAAAGAAAACATAAAGCAGCTAAGGTTGAGCCGGAAACAGTTCAACCACAAATTACAGAAAAAAAGAGCAAATTAATTCAAGATGATAACACAAATCATGAGGAATTAGTACGAAATGAATTTGCGTCATCAACGGTAAGCAGCACAAAAGATATACAAGTTAATAATGATGTTGATCCAACCCATGTTGAGGAAAGTGAACATCTAAAAATATTAGGTGAAGATGTCGATTTCAGTAAACGTCAAAAAGTGGATATGGTACTGCCACCATGGTTAGCACATCCTACTGTCATATCAACAAGTATTTCAAAAAATATAAACGACACAAGTGCTACGAGTGATGCGGTAGCCGAATTAAGTTATTTGTCTCCACATATACGACAATCCCTTAAGGAAATGAACATAACAAATACATTTCCAGTACAATCAGCAGTTATACCATGGCTACTCGAAGCACATGCCAAACCATGGCCGTTTCGTCCGCGTGATATTTGCGTCTCGTCACCTACCGGCAGTGGAAAAACGTTAGCATTTGCTGTGCCAATTGTGCAACTGTTAGCCAACCGTGCACGTCGTAAGATTCGTGCATTAGTTGTTTTGCCTGTTACTGAATTAGCACTTCAAGTGTATAAAGTTTTTAAAAAACTGTGTGATAAAACCGACTTGACCGTTTCCTTATTGTCTAAGCAAGTTGCATTTTCTACAGAACAAGAACAACTTGTTGAGTTATATAAAGGCGAATATCATTCAAAAGTAGACATTATTATCACTACGCCTGGTAAATTTCGTTTATATATAAAATAAATTTAATAAAATATTAAATAATGAATTTCTTATAGGTCGCTTGGTCGATCATATACATGGAACAAAAGGCTTTTGTCTAAAATCCCTGAGATTTCTTGTTATAGATGAGGCTGATCGTATTATGGATGCTGTTTTCCAAAATTGGCTCTATCATCTTGATAATCACGTACGTGAGACATCCGATCAGTTACTTTCAGGACGTGTTGCACCACTTTGCTACAATGAACTCGAACAAATTGCTCTGACGCAACCACAAAAACTGCTTTTTTCAGCTACACTTTCACAAGATCCCGAAAAATTACAAAACCTGCGCCTGTTTCAACCAAAGCTGTTCACGTCTGTTTTAACCAATTTGGAAGAGTTGCGTGAGAAGTTTGCCAGCAATTTGCAAGAGCAAAAAGGCACGGAAGTACGTGGTGAATTTATTGGAAAATACACTACACCGGCAGAGTTATCGGAGAAATACTGCATAACTGAGGGTCGTCTTAAGCCTTTAACATTATATTCACTTATAAAAGAAAATAATTGGACAAAGTTCTTGTGCTTTACCAATAGTGCTGCATCTTCCACAAGGTAATATGCAAATATTTTCATTTAGTTTTAAATCTACACAAAACGAAACAATAATATATATACATTGAAGTATTTATTATACTTAAAATTAATTATTATGTACAATATATTTTACATAAACAGGTTGGCTATTGTACTTGAAAAACTCTGTGGTACTGAGCTAATAATTAGTGATCTGTCTGCTGCCATTAATGCTAGTGAACGATCAAAAATTTTGAATAAATTCTCCAAAAATAAAATAAATGGGTAAATACATATATCTTTCAAAAAAGTTTTAAATTTTGTTAGTTTTAAAATATTAATTATCCCTTTTATTTAAGGCTTGTCTGTTCGGATGCTTTAGCTCGTGGTATCGATATACCTGACGTGGATATAGTAATATCTTACGACCCACCACGACATATTAAAACATATATACATCGTATTGGACGTACAGCGCGCGCTGGAACACCTGGTACAGCTATAACCTTACTTACCCAAAAGGAACTTGATATTTTCAACGTAAGTTGTATATATAATATTATTATTTTAAAAGAAGAAATACTTACAATTTTAAATATAGAAAACACTTATTGAGGTTGGTAAAACGTTAACAGAAGAGATTGTAGTGACTTCGAATATTGAAGAGGAAAATGCTAAAAACTATCAAGCGGCTTTGGAAGTGTTGCGACACAAACTTGAACTTGAGAAACACAACAAAATGTTGATGAAACAACGTGCCAAGGATAGAGCAGTAATGCATAAAGAACCTGCAAAGATGACAATAATGGAGAAATTGCAAATGAAAGCAACCGAAGACATACAGGGCAAAGTTAAAGAAAAGCCATTACCGAGAAGAAAATTTACAAAAAAGGATAAAAGAAATAAATAAACATTTTGTTAAGAAAGTTATTCAATATTTTACACACAATAATTTTATTAAGTAAAATAAATTAAGATCTATAATCAATGATTGTAAGTTTATTTTAAAAAATGAAAACGTATGTAATACTTGTAGAGAATCTTTAAAAATCTTAAGAAGACTTAAGCTATTAAAGACCTGCCTCTAAGAAGAGTTCGATAAAGAACTTAAGAAATGTTTGGTCATAAAAAAGCTAAGTTATACAATTTAAACCAAGTATGCTAGCGTAATGACACTGCAGGGAATAAAGGTTTCACCATTATAGCAGCTTCTGGTTGTGAATAACATTCATCTAATTACACTATATAAAGCTATAGTATATGCGACATGTTTATTTTATTTGTAGATTTTGGTAAAGATAAGCAGCTGGATCACTGGCTAGGGTAATATTGACAAAGAGAAAGATTAAGAAAGATTGAACTGATGCTGTATCGTTGACTGTATACATTGTCTACAATTGAATTCTTATTGCATTACATATTACATTCTTAATGAACTGTTAGTTTTTATTTAACTTAATAATTATATAGAATATTAGAATGTATTTATATTCTAAAATATTTGCCACTAAAATCAAATTCTCGGTCTTTAACTTTTCTTTACTAAACGGAGAACACTTAATATTATTAGACAAATAGAAGTTTTAGTAGAAAATGAAGTAAATTGAAGCTTCAATGTTAATTTAATAATCAAGAACTTCTGTACAGCTTTTTATTATTTCAAAAAATAATTAACGAGTTTTTAATTAATGTATCGCAAATATCAAGAACGACTTCAAACTGGACATAGGAAGACATATAGTATTCTTAAATACATAAGAATATATAAGAAATAAAGTGCCATATATGTATATATAAGAAATATTTCCAAAAAAAACAGGGATGATAAGTATATAATAAACAACTATGAAGTGAGCCAAATATTCAATGAATTAGATATAAATACCTATTCGTACTAAAACTCAAGTAAAGTACAAACTGAGAGCGTAACATAAATAAAGTGCCAAATTACGCTCTTTACTCAGATTTTCATGGAACAGTTTCGCATAAGGTCTGGTCAGAACACCAGTGCCATGCAAATAAACAATACAAAAATTTAAATTCAAACCAAAATAGCTGATTTACGCATCACACAAATTTTACTTGAAATAAAATGTACGAGTAAAGTCTGTGTAGCATTTTTAAATTTCGACAGGGATATTAAGCTCTTTTAGATGCTCTCATTTACTCGAAAATTTGCTGGTGGAATGCACTTGTGGAACAGACTTAATATTTTGTTATAATTCACAACTACTTAAAAATCTTTAATATTAATTTAATAATAAAATAAACACTTTATGGGCTTTCAAAGTAAAAATAGTAATGATTCATTATTTGCCCTTATAATTTATTTATGTTTCCATCAAAAATCTTTAATACGTTTTACAGCTTTGTCTTTTTTACAAACTTTACATTTATTAACTTTCAGAATTCTATTTTATTTTTTAAAATTTCTCTTAAAACATAAATGCGCTACAGTTTATCACCGAATTAAATAAATACTTTATACTTAATTTAATTTTCACATAAATTTTTATAAATTTGTGAGAATACAATTGGTATAATTTTTTTATATATGGTAACAATGTTTAAACAAAATATATTTGCTTCAATTACTTATGTATTCATTTTAATATTTAATTATATGTATATTTGTTGATTAAGATAATTAATCAATGCAATATTAACAGAAACAATAATTTAATATATAAAAAATTTTTTGTTTTCGTTGTAGAACACTTTTTCTTTAAATTGTAGCTAATTCGAGATTTGTAATTTCGTTAAAACAAATACAAAATAAGGACCGATGGGTTAAATGTATTAGAAAGTATCACAGTCATTAGAGATAAAAAAAAATTCTTTTAATTTTCAGAAAAAACATTCAAATATATAATAAGGAAATTTTGGAGAGATAGTACTATAAAAATTCTCTCCATGTATATTTATATATACGAAAAAATTAATATTCAGTATGCTAAACTGTAAACCATCAATCTGTTTACTTTATGAAATTATAAGTATATAGTACAATTTATTTAATTTGCATTTATAGTTTTGAGAATTCTTTTTACTTGCATATTTAGTACATTATTTAAACTAAATATATTTTAATCAATGCATTTACATAGATTTTATTTTCTGAAATTTGTATACCATTGTAAATTTTGTAAATTTGTAATACGTTGTGTTGATAACTACTTATTCATTAAAGTTTATAATGTATAAAATTTTTTTTTGTATTACAAGGAATTCAGAAACGAGACCATTTCTACATTATTGTTAGCCAAAAAGTTGAATTTGTCTGCATATTTCAGTTTTATCTCATTAACGATGTTAACACCAAGGGCGTAAGTGATTTCATCAGCATATTGTTTCTGATATAGTACATGCACAACAATTGCCAAAATTTGCTCAACGAAATCAATGATGGCATCACGTGAACTAATCAGAAGTAGCTGGAAACATTTGAATATATGTTCATTTTCTTGTATATCTTCTTTAATTGGCAATTTCTGTAAAAATACTGGCAACACTTGTTGAAGAGGAACCTTTCCGGGACTTGTTAAAATGAGACGTGCTACAGCACCGCATACGTTATCTACAGCGCTCGGTTTAGTTTCATTTGCAAAGCGTTGTGACAATGCATTCAAAATTGCTGGATATTGTCTAAAAATCATAAAAAACGTAAATAATTAAAGAGCTCAAGCTCAATACATGGAAAGATCAAAATTTACTTACGGATAGGATTTTTCTGCAGAATTTAGAACTAATTCTCCTAAACCAAACAGCGCATTTTGTCTCGCCTGCTCACTGTGATCTGTTAATCCAGACATCATAACTGCGCACATTGTATCAAAGTATTTAGCTGAATATTGTTTTAATGGTGAAAAGCATTCTGCTAGTGCACCATAAATAAATGCACGTTGATTTTCTAAATCTTTATTTTTTCTTGCTTTTAACTAAAAATGAAATTAATAATAAAAATAAAATACCATCTATTTTTATAAAACAAAAATTAGTTACCAATTTTTTCAAATATACACCATGAATACGTGAAAAGTATATATCAAATATGTGTGGTTGTACTGCATGGCCTAGCAATGGTAATAAATTTCCTCCAGTTTCGATTATTGCTTCATCAAATTCACTCTCTTCTAGTCCCTCATCCGACTCATCGTCTTCATCAACATCTTCGAACTGACATGTGAGCTTACCAAGCATAACATTCTCAATGATAGTATAAATAATGTTAACTTGTTCTTCGCTAGATGCTACTAAACTTTTTAATTCTTTTAACATATCAGTTATACCATCCATGCAAGTTACAACAACTCCAGGATTTTCATCGTCCTGAATAAGTCGTGCCAATTTTTTTAATAATACAGCAACAGCATTAATAACAGCTTGCGACTTCTCTTGATTTTTAAGACATAAGATAAAAGCTATCAATGTTTCAACTGATACTTTACGCAATTCGTCAGTTGGATGATCCAATTTTTTATAAACTTCCTCATAAGATCTTTCTATGTATGGTAAAAGCGAATGGCCCGAATGCTGTGCGAAATCTTTTAATGCTATAATAATTTCTTCCTTTTCATCTAAATAAGGATTTTCAACATCGAAATCTTGATCGTTTGCATCTTCTTTGTCATTTTCAGACTGTGAAATATCGATATCTTCTTCATCTGATCCTTCACTGGAAGACTCATTATCATCCATTACTTTTGGACATTCTTCATCAGGTCTACCTAAAGTTGTTAACATAAGTGGAATCACTTTCGGGAATACCGAAGCCATTTGTTCATTTACAACTTCTGATAATGCGCCCAATAAGTTATATATGCAACGATGCAATTCTGGATCTTCAGAGGACTCTAATAAAGAAAGTGCAAAACTCATTGTGTCTAATGCTAATGGCATAAAATTCAATTTGCCAATATAACGTGCAATTGAAGCTAAAGTATCAATAGCTTGAGGGCGTAATGCATTAATATTCTCATCATCAGATTTTTCTAAATATGGTCGGAGTAAAGAAATCATTTCTTCAAAATAAGGCAACATTTTTTCTTTTACAGCTGAAACAATGGAAGAAACGCAACTAAAGCCCATTTCTCGTAAACGTACTGTATGAACTGGAGATAATATTTCATAAATTCTACAAAAACAAAAAAATATATATATTATAGTCACATATATACATAATTAAACATATAAATTATATTTGCAGATTTCTTAATGTGAAGTTTTAAATAATAAAATTATGTTCACTAAATGGTATATTATTAAATTTTATATACTATATTATATATATATATATTATAGTATAGTATATATATACTATATTATATATATATATATATATATATATATATATAGTATTATATATATAATATACATAATACATAATACATATACATAATACATAATACATAATACATAATACATATATCATAATACATAATACATAATACATAATAACATAATACATAATACATAATACATATACATAATATTATATATATATATTATATATAATATATATATATATATATATATATATATATATATATATATATATATATATATATATATATTATGTATTATGTATTATGTATTATAATACATAATACATAATACATAATATATAATACATAATACATAATACATAATACATAATACAATACATATACATAATACATAATCACTAATACATAATACATAATATATTATATATATATATTATTATTATATATATATATATATATATATATATATATATATATTTATTATATATATATATATATATATATTATTTATTATTATTATTGTATTATGTTATTATGTATTATGTATTATGTATTGATGTATTATGTATTATGTATTATGTATTTATGTATTATGTATTATAGATTATGTATTATGTATTATGTATTATGTATTATGTATTATGTATTATGTATTATGTATTATGTATTATGTATTATGTATTATGTATTATGTATTATGTATTATGTATTATGAATTATATATATTATATATATAGAACTCCATAATGCAAATTATAACTGGAATCATATATGCCACGAAGCACCCAATAGAGTTAGGTTTAGATCTATGGCAGAGGTCCTACGATCCACGAGGAGAAAAGGACAACAATAAGTAAGTACTATCAAATTAAAGTAGTTAGATATAATTGACCGGTGATGCCTATTAAGTGTCCATTTTAAGTACTGTCAAATTAAGGTAGTTAGATGTAATTGACCGGGGGATGTCAATAAAGTGTCCATTTTAAGACACAGCTGTATTTGTAGCTCGCAGGGATCTAAAACAAATTACATGACGAAAATATGGGGCAAGCATGTGTATGTGGTTTTAAGACACTCATTAAATGAAATTACATGTACTTTAGATATTAGAGAGTAGATTTATACTACCAGTTTCTAATAATTATTAAATGTTATATATCTTTAGTACAATATTTTTGTTCTTCCCACCAAATGGACTTTAATTATTATGTTTTGTTGTAAAAAATTACTACATAAGACATTGGGAATGGATCCGAAACTCCGTTGACTAATGCTACAATTAGATAATTTTATTTAACACAAGGTGTTATAAGTTATTAATACGTCTTTATACAATATACAAATGTTAAAAAAAGATACGATTATTTTTCTTAATATAAAAAAATCCATATATATATATATAAATATATGTCATTTAATTAAATTTACCTTGCCATTAACACTGGCAAATGCGGCACCAACTCTTCTTCCATGTGCTCGCAAAAGGTTTCTAATGCATAAAACATGCGATCTATATGCTTAGGTTCAGGAAGACCTCTCTAAAATTTACATTTAAAAAAATTCATTTTAAAACATTTTTAAATAATTAATTAATTAGTATAACTCACATTAAACTCTACACTAACATTATGCATATAATCGAACAAAATTGGCAGAATTTGTGGAGCGAAACGAGTTATATCAGGTTGCAAATATTCAGAAAATTGACCTAACGCGAAAAAGGCTGCAGCACGAGCTAACGTAGATTGATCCGTTAAGCCAACTCTGATAATTTCAAACATAGGATTCAAATAGTTATTGCAAATTGTTTCAGAGCAACCTTCTGCGATAACCGCCATAGATAAGTATGCGCCACGACGTTCCATAGGATTTGGACCTTGTAATGCTCCTTCTAACATTTGTAACAATGGTGGTATAAATTTATCAGGTGGCAAATGTAAAGCACACATATCCATTGTCTGAGCAGCTGTAGTCATTGGACTATTTGCATCTTGACCAAGAAAGTATTCATCGTCGTCTGTAAGATTTAAAATCATTAAAAATATTTTCTTTTTTTGTATATATATTTTTATATTTTTGTATACTATTTACCTTCTTCGTCTTCAGGTTCTGTGCACATTAGTCCAAATATAAGTTTCAGAATAGGTTCCAGTAATTTTTGCTTAATGATAATCTTCTTTTTCAAGCGTACTATGAAACCAATATAAGCTACACTTTTAATGCGTATAGCTGGATCTAATTCAGTATTTTGTGACAATTCAATACATAACTCGAGCATTAGCTTAACATAGTTATTCATTAATTTTGGAGTGTAATCTGCAATATTTTCTAATATATCAAACGCACGAATAAATTCATCTGGATTTCCAGAAAAGGCAAAGTATCGTATGGTTTTGATAATCGAAGGTATGTACTTTTGAATTGTACCTTCTGCAGCATTATGTCCAACAATAAATGGTATCAAATAATTCATACCAACTATTATATTAAGTACAACTTGTGATGTAACATTCATGTTGCCCGCTTCTGTAGCCACCATTGCAGATGTAAATAAATTGCATATAGAATTCAAATGTGGTATAAATTGATTGGGAGCAACATCTGATAGTACTGCAAAAATTGCTGTTCCCAATTCTTTTTCTTTAGCATCATTTGAATTGCTGTATTTATAAATAATTCCCAATATCTCTTCCATAAAACTTGTATCCATATCTTGACCACTGTTAAGCAAAATTACACCCACAAGTTGAGCTATGGCATTGCGAACAGACTTTTCATTTTCGTCCAGCAACGCTTTAAGCATTCCGGTTTTGATTCTAAATAAAATGATCAAATTATTAAATTTATTTGAGATTGTTTAGATATATGAAGTTGAAATATTTGATTAAAACTTACATAAATTGAACTTCTGTTGTCACGGTTAGCCAGTTACGTCTTTTAGCTAAACGTCTACGAAGTAATGTTGCGGCATATTGACGAATAGCCGGAGGATGTTGTGAAACAACAATGTTGCATAATATTGCTATAGTGTCTGGATGTTTATAAGCTTCAGTTAATTCTGCATTAGCCTAAATAAAAGAAAAAATTGAAGCAAAAATTATAAAAACATTACTGATTCAAAGATTGTGGGATATATGAGCGCAAACTATGCCATTACTTCAAATTTTAACTCTCGAGTCTATGTTCTGGAACTGAAACACCTTAATTATTAGAAATTAAATAGAATTACAACAAATGTTCGAAAGTGTTCGAACTGCTGAAAATACATCGAATACTCTGTTTGCTCGCTTTGCTAGAACATATAAACACTCGACACTTCGAATCTATCGAATAATATTTGAAGCACTATAAAAATTAAATTACGAAATATATTGTATCGTCGTAGACAAGTTTTAAGTATGTGATGTTATTTTGACTGCAAGAGAACTATCGATATCGTTAACTATGGTTTGAGAGCTAAGAAAATGTTTAGTAATGTTTGGTAATTCATCATGAACTGTTTAAAGCAAGAACAACGCTTCCAAATTGAGGAAATTTAGCTTAAAAAAAAATAAATCTGTTCCCGAATTTCATAGAGCACTTCGGCCATTTTACGGCCAACATAATGAGTAATGAGTAAGCAATTCATACAGTTATAGATCATTTTCACATGATTTCACTCTTCTCGATTCAAAACCATCAACATCTATTAAAATTGACTGATTGGTGCAGTTTATACGCTAGCAGTATTATCGGTCCCTAATTTCTTTCAGAATAAGGAATAAGCTACCATTACGATGAATGGCTAGCGCTATCGAGGCGTGCTGACTGAAGTTTTGTATCGAAAATAATCAGTTAAACATCGATGACATTTGGCATTTGGTTCCAACTAGACAGCACAACTTGCCATACAGCGCGCTTAACTGTCGATTTATTGCGATATCAATTTGATAACTTTATTTTCAGAATTGGTCCTGTTAACTGGCCCTTCGTTCGTGCGATTTAACGATTCTGGATGACTTTTCATGTGACTACTATATTGACATTGGTTTATGTCGACAAACCAGCAACTCTTGCTTGAAGTATTGGAAGCTAATGTTCATGCCACCATTGACGCCATACGGTCAAATTTATTGCAAAAAAGTCAGAAATGACAGAAAGGACTGATCGAATGGATCATATATCTCGGTAGTTGCGACGGACATATGTGAGAAATCATATTCAGAAAATAAATGTCATGAAATTATCTGCCAGATTATAATAAGAAAAATTTCATTCCAACAATATTGCTTTCTTGTATTATAATTTTAAGTTCTCATGCAGTTAAAAAAACCCTCGTTGTATACTTTAATGTGATTGAATGAAATTGTCCTAGTAAAATACTATTAAATAAAGTAAGACATAATAAAAATAGCATTCTATCCTTAAAAATTTTACTATTAAGCAATGAATTCACACTTTGCCGAAAATTGTATCCGCTATGTTAAATATAACATTTGCATTTAGTTTTACTTTCAACGCGCATAATAATGAAAATCATGGAGAATGATACACCGCGATTAATGACATCTATGTATTATATTTTTTCTGAAGAAAATTTCCTAAGTTAAGATGAACAAATTACTGCTTTCCGTATATCTAACATTATTTTCTAATTCATGATTATATACACCCATCAGTTAAATTAGTCATATAAAGATACTACCCTGATAGGAGCAAATAATATGAATGTATCTCTTTGCAAACTCAGAGGCTAACGTTGTTTGTCATATATTTGAATGATTTTAGTTATTAGAAGAATGCCCGGTTTAAAAGCCAGTCATTATTCTGAATTTGGTCTTACACTAACAATTTTTTTTTTGGTACTAGTACAAATGAGCTCATTGGATTCATAGGTATTTGACATCGATGGACGTTCCCAAAAAAGTTAATGGAGCTATGCAACCATATAATGAATAATGAAGATCTTAAAAATATATATATCAGTAAATATATTAATATATATCATAATTAGTGATTAAACATAATTTTTTTTATTTTTCTTGAGGTCTTATATATAGGTTTTTAGTTTTTTTGGAAACCAATTGAATTATTTTCCATACATTTGTATGAAATTATTTTTTTCCTTTAACGGCATTTCGTTTTATTGTCAATTTTTTTGGAATGATTTAAGGCCCTTAAGCGAGGTATAGGTGTACATGATAAATAAACGGGTTAGGATGCAGAGTTTTTGCATGAGGGGAGCGGATTATTAGGAAGTGGAAACTACTTCCTACTGACTGAATAACCGTTATTGGTTCTGTTTATATTTGACACTCAGTCTTATATAGTAAACAGCTGCTTACAATCACGACAAAATATGAAATATTTTTCAGTACATTAATGAACCGAAGAACTAAAAAGTAATATAAAATAATTTATTCGTAAAGATATAAAATATATATTATTAATATTAAATATCAAATATGAATGTTTATATTTATTAATAAATTTCTGTGAATTCAAGCACAATTAAAAATTGCCTTAGCAACAGTACGAATTTGCACGAAATTTGTTGAGATACAATTGATCACAATACATTGGCATGTTAATTGCTTAGAGGGTGGGTTGCGACCACAGAGGGTCGAGAAGCACTAGCACGTGTTGGCTTGTCGCACATGTGTGCAAATTATTATTATAACTTTTAATAATTAAACGATCTTATATGAATCATAATAAATAATATGCAAATACATTAGCATTTTCGCTGACACAAGTAAACAATTAAGCAATTGTTTATACTTCTTAGTACATGTGCTTTTAAAACATATAAAATAGGTTATGAAGTAAAGAAAATCTTAATTATTATATATGTAGCCAAATAAATTAGATAAAGTTAAATAAATTATAACAAATTCTTCAGTTATTTGTAGGTTTAAAATGGAAAATAAAAATCAAGAACTAGGTTTAAATACCTAAAAATAGAATATTTATTAGTTTTTAACACCTCAGGTAGAAAAAATGTTATTTAATTTTCAATTAAAATTTGTATTGTGAAATTTTGTTAAAACTTCCAAGACTAATTCTATTTGGCTTTACATCAAGTATGGCAGTCAGTCACTAGCAAATTTTTTCGCAATATCACACACACACACACACACACACACACACACACACATCCAAACACATAATTTTTTATTTATAACACCAATGGTAAAGACAATAAAATTTAACAAATTAAAAACATCTTTTATTTTACAAAAACTGTATACATTATAATAAAATAACCAAAGATATAATTTTGTGACTTTAAAAAAAATTTTGAAAATTCTGTTTGTGCTCACACGTGGTAACTTTTATTTCAACAATAAATATATAAATAATAACTCACCTGTCTTATAACCTCGCTATCTGCTTCCAATAATTTTTTAATTATTTCTTCCATTTTCAAAAATAAATTATCTTATATATTATCACTTGAAACCCTTAATTTTATACGTTATTGCAATTTGCAGTACACTCGCAGCCTACGCTGCCGGTAGTAAAAAGTTCCTCGGCGTATGCAAAAATGAACTGCAAAAGAAATTGTGTTGGAAAACGTCAAATTTTAGTTGTCAAATGTGGCATAAGAAGTACGAATAAAAATTTACATACAAAAGTTATTACTTATATAAATTTAATAGAATATTATGACGAATACCTCTATTGTCATAAATGCTTATAACGTCCAAATCGGTAACATTTTTTTGTAAATTTCTTCAGATAAACTATATGATAGTTTAAAAGACTTCAATTATTATAAAATTATAATATAAAACTAAGAAAAAAGTATTTTAATAAATGAATAAGCAAAAATATAAAAATTGAAATAGAAATAAAATTATTTATTTTATTTACTATAAATATAAAATTTAATTTCAATGAAACATTGTGAAGAATAATTTATCATATATCAAAGTTAACTGATGTTTACTATATTACACACTTATGCTATGCTTAGACTATTGCACTTAATTGAACTATATAAAGCAATATTGTTTGTGAAAAATTGAAAAATTGCTATATCTTTTGTTTAAAATTTCAAATGAAATTAAGGTTATTTTTTTTCATTTTGGTCTAACTTTATAACTGAAATTTGTAACAACTTAATTTCACTTATATGGCGTTTACACTGGCCACAAATGACTCATTTCAAATCAGTCATTTGAAAGTGTTTACATTCGTTATTACTCATTTGTTATCATTTCAAATAGCGGATTTGTTAACATGCCTGTTAAATTGATTTTTGGCCTGTCCCAAAAAAATGTTGGATGAAGGTAGTATATAAGAGGTGCATCGTTTTCAAGGAAATGCTACCACCAAATATTTCTTTACCTTATTTTGTAAATATGTCAAAAACAGCTTCTTCAAACTGTCAAAATGCCATTATTTAGGGTATTTTCAATGTATTCATATGCATATGCATATTTATGCAGAAATCAGTCATTTTCTTCACATTTTTGACCAAAATAAGCCTATTATTAAGCATATTATTAAATTGAAATTTTTGCGAAATTAAGGTGTGTCTAAACATAGTCAAAATAAACATTATAATAGCCGTAATAATTAATAGCCGTAAAAATTAACATACACTCTGGTTGAAAGAAATTGGCAGCACTTTTAAAATATGTTGAATGCTTTTGTTTAACATATGTTTTTTGTTGTGTTGTAAACAATATGATTTGATATTAAATTTTAAAACATATTTTCAGTGAACATTCACAATAGACTGAATTTTGAGTTTGGCCGTATTAAGACTTTAGACTTCAATTTTTTTTGAGAGTAAAACCTAACTTTGCGGATTTTAAGAACATTGTTGTTATTTCACATGTTTTCTTTTTTAAGTTGCGAGTATTTTTTTGCTATTCTGAAAGAAAAAATTACGGCTAATATCACCGTTTCAATAGTGTTTAATAAGTAATGACTTGTCTTAATTTTCTTTCTGGCAATATTACAAGAAATTTCCCTGCATGAAACTTTTCTTTAGTACTATACATTATAAGTATGAAATTTTGACAGCAACTTGTTTACAGACCACCATTTTTAAATTATCAATTTGAATACAGTACGAAAAGCCAGGATTAAATATTAGGCACATTGGATTCTTATAAAATGTTTTGTTGATTTGTTTTTTGCTGTTGATATAATGTTTTGTGCATATGTATACAATACTATATTTGTTGAAATTAAATTATTCTTGCATTAACAGCACGAATTAAAAAAAACTTATTTGTGAAATACAGAAAGAGTGTACAACAACAAATAAGCGAGGTTGTGTACGGGAATTTATTTGATGGAATTGACTTAAGCGCACATTATGGAAAAAAGCGGGAATTCTGAGGAGGATTCCTTAGGTATTTTAAATATGGACAATATTAAAGGTATTAAATGTTTTTATGTTAATATATATATTATATTTAATATATTCATATTTGATTAAATATAGTCTTTGGCGATTTATCAGCAAATAACTCGTCTAGTAGACAATTAAGTGGAATTTTGTTGGTAAGTATTGTACTATATATATATCAAATTGATTAAGAAATAATTTGTATTATATTGAATAAATTTTATGTAAATAATTAATTGTTTCTTTGTTTTTAATATCCTATAGGAAGAACGCAAGAAAGCTTTACAATTGTTAGAAAAAAAAGGATGTGCCTCCAATAAAGAAAATGTTCCTAATATTAAATTAAACAATATTACTGTTAATGATATTTTAAAATCAAGCAGTGTTTATAATTCTACAAAGTCAAGTAAGAATAAAGAATAATAGTAATACGTTGTGTGTATATGTAAAATCTTAATTGATTATTTTTTTTTCTTTAATTAGACGAAACACGCATTAATGATAGTGCAGGTACTTTCAGCTTCTCAGATTTTGTTGGATGCGAAAGCACCAAAGAAGATAATCTACAAACTTCCACAAACACTTTAGCAGAAAAATTAAAGATATCTTTTGAACCAAATGAAATTACTGGTCGATCTACGCTTTGTAAACAAAGTAATGCAAGTCAAAATCCTTCACGTAGGGATTCTACTATGTCTACTAAAGATATCTTGAACTCATCAATAAGTATGAAACTTCGTAATCTATCTGAAAATCTAAAAATTGATAGTGTTTCAACTGATTGGAATAATTACTCACATGTCAGTTTGCCACGCACCGCAGATTTATCTAAATCAAGAGCAGCACATTCAGATTTTTCATTTAATGGAGGAGATGGCTTACCATTTTCAACCGATCAACAATTAAATTTTACCGGTTTATGTAATGAAGAGTTTAAGTCCTATAAGTCAATTGAAGATAAACTTTTAAGCGATGAAAAAGAATGGGCACAAGAATTTGCAGTTATGCCTGTTGCTGAAAAAAATAAAGATTTTTCTGCATTGAGTTTCAATACAAACAATGAGTGAGTTACTTTCATATAAAGTAAAGTAATATATATTGTATTATTTTTATAGATTGCATCATATATGTATATAAATTATGTATATAATATATATATAACAGATATTTTATGTATGCTGTATGTACCGTTTAATATATTGCATATGCATATGAATTGTGTATAAACAAAATTGTATGCATATCTTTATTAATAATAATATCTATGTTATTTGTATATATGTTATAGGTTTAATTCATAATATATATATATTTCTTCTATTGAGTTTTTTTTTAAATAATAATTTTTTTATAGTACAAAGAATGACTTTATGGCCGATTTTTCCGTTGGTACGTTTTTTAAAGGACGTTCAGAAGACATTCGTAACATTGTAAAAGCAATTAGTCCCGAAAAAAATCGATCTCCAATTGCACTTGTAGATGATGACAATATGGTACAATCTGCAACATCCTTTCAAGATGAAGAAACACCTAAAATAGATAACAAAACATATAGCAGAGCGAAATACGATAAAGAAAAACATGAGAGTAAGGATTCCGGCAATAGTTCCGATAATTCATTTTTTATGAGTATGTCAGCAATTGGTCGAGCATTATGTAAGTTAAAAGTCCATTTCTTATATATATAATTTGATAAATTACTGAAAACATGTATTTAATAGCTCAATTGAATATTAATAGCAATGATTCATATTCAGCCATAAAGAATCAAATGCTACAATATAAAACTAAAAAGAATAGTAATGGAGATAGTAAACAATCGCCTGAAATGGAAAAAAAATCGATGGAAAAAAAAGATATTTTAAATATGATAGAAGAGAATAAAGAAAATATGGATCCACAAGTATTGGAAAATGCACTCTCTGATACAATCAGTTTGAGAGAATCTTTTTTAAATTGCAGTGATGTCATGCCACAAAGGCGCAGTATTACCTCACCAAACCGCTCACCACTAAGTCCTATAGTAACTACACATGATAAAGGTAAATAAAGATGACAAATTGTTATGTGTAAATGTTAAAAAAATTTGTTATATATTTTAAGATAATGGAAATGATGCTGATGTAGATGAATGGGGCACTCCAATTTGTACAACTAATCGTAAGAAGCGACTAACAAAGTCACCAAATTTTAAGACAAAAGCTGCTGTTATTGAAAATCATAATACTGTTTCATCTTCTTCTGTATCTAAACAAAGCGAACGAAATAATGAAATTACTAATGCAGAAAAAAGTGTGACAAAAAATTCATTGAACTCCTTAGAAAACTTATTACTACATGTAGAAAATTTATCAGAGGAACAACGTTTCTTACTATCTTCTATACAGTCAAAAATTAATCATCAAGCACCTCTATTATCTCCATTGTCTTCACCACGTAGTAATTTATCATCACAAACTTGCTCACCAACCACCTCAGATGGTTATCGCTCACCAAATTTCAACAGCACAACAAATTCCGAACGTCGTTTTCTATCACTTGGCAACTTAGGAAAAGCAACATCACCTGTAACTAGTGAATCCAATGTTCATAAATATGTATATGGCGCTGTGCCTGTTCGGAGTGCTTCAACTATTTCCACGAAAAGTAATGCAAGTGGTGTTAGTAGAAGCATATCGCGTGCATCCAATTCAAGCGAGTTTAGCCATCGAGATGGTAAAATAATACCATTAAAAGTAAGTTAAGTACACGGTAGGTTGTCTATAAATATTATTTTCTTGATTTTTGAAAATATTTAAACTAATTCGCGACATTATTTATGTTGTGCAATAAATCTACTCACAAAATATTTTCTCACATGCCTTTCTTGCTATTAATCGTTGCTGACTATATAGTTTTTGATCAATTTCATCTATTTTGTAGTTTCCAGTCACATACAGTGTAGATGTGTGATTGTAATTAAAAGTTAGCATATTGGCGATCTATGGTATACATATCACAAAATTCTTTAGTGAATAGACATAATAAAGTTAGTTACACTTAAATAATAATAAAATACATCTTAGATTGTCCTATGGACTGAATGTGGGAGTACGATAAATTATTCGATAAAGGAGCATTTTTTGAAAAAAAAAATTGTGGTAGATTTAATATATCTCTCACAAAACTTACATTAATAATTGTTAAGTAGATAGTAAAGATAAATTGACAATAAGACAAAGAAAGGCTTTAACATTCTGGATTATTTAGGCAACGACCACGGTTCACTTGAGATGAGATTTGATTATATTGCTAACTGTGTATTATTATAGCAATTCATAAAATATTGCCAAAAGTTCCAAGTCCTACTTGTTTTCTCTATTTCATATATTCTATTGGCAATTTCATTTAAAATTTTTTAGTTGGAGATTTAATTCGCATTTGTTGTTTTGAGTGACATGACTGGATGGCAAGGTTCCGTATTCTGAATACGACCACTATTTAAGTCTCACCCGCATACGTTTCCAGCTACTATCTATTTGTACGCACGTAATTTTTTTAACATTTTCCCACACTCATATTTTTCCATATGATGTAGTGTTAATTGTATTAATTTTGGTTTTGTTACTGGTTACTCTCACCTTGCTTAAACTACAAGTCCACAAGCAAATAGAAAAGAACTTATATAATAATAGTATAAAAGTTGAAAGGAAAAGTGCCTGTAATTCAGGAGATCGTGTAATAGATTTTTTTTTCAAATAAATTTTTCTATATGCACTTTAAATTAGTTTTAAAAACCCTTTCTTATATAATGCTCTTTACACGCCCTTGCGAATCGACAAGATAATAAATAATAATAATGATCGAGATAATTAATTAGATAATTAAGGTAACCTAAAAACGTATACTATACTATGTTTAATAAAATACTTGTTAACAATATTGTCTAAAATAGTTTATTATATATATATATTATTATATATTAAATAATATTAATGCTGCTTCTTATAACAGGCTTCGTAATTTAATTGTATATCATCGTATTATATTTATATACTAGCTGACCCGGCGAAAGTTGTTTCCCCTTATAATTAATTTCCGTGCTCTGCTGAGTAATCATATTTGTTGCTATTTCCATATCTGTGCAGATAAAGAGATTGTCAGATGTATCCATGTAAGAAGTAATCCATGTTTAGAATTTAATCGCATAGTTCTAAGGATAAAGCCTAAACAATGTTAATAGCGTTTGTTTTATTTATATTAAAATTATAACTAATATCGAGTGTTTTAATAGCCTATGATACGCCTAAAAACTATATAAATATGATCTGAGAGTATCACGAAGATTAGTTAAAAGTCATTAAAAAGTTATTGAGTAACGAACAGCCAAACAAACGATTTTATATAAAAAGATATATATTTTTATATATTTTATTTTTACATATTTTATTTTTATATATTTTATTTTTATATATTTTATTTTTATATATTTTTTTCAGCTAACAAAATTGGAATTATCTTGGGGAAGTATAAAATTACGAAAAGAGGTACGTCAATCGGTGCAGATTAAAAATACATCAGAGAAACGTTTAGTGATCCGACACGAAATATTTGGACCTGGCTATCAATTAATTAATACAAGTAGTAATATATTAACCTTACAAGCTCAAGAATGTCATTCCATTATAATAAGTTTCTGCCCAACGATAACTGGGGTAGCCATTGGAGGATTAAATTTTTATCCGCCACACCGTAATGCCAATAATACTCAACCATTTCTTGTGTTACCTCTCTTTGGTTATGGTGGTCACAGTAGTATTTCTATAGATGGCATTCTCATAGGACCAGTTGGTTCGCCGTTTTTACCATTGGGCGATGCTTATGATTTAAAGCCAAACAGCGCAATCATACGCACTTTTAATATAATCAACAAGGGACCTCTACCAAGTTTCCACGCAGTTTCAGTTAACTTGATAGGTTTATCACGACTAAGCATCAATCTCGAAATACAACCAAGCAAACTATTATTAGATGTGGGCCAGGAAGCAACAATCCGTATTATATTCCATCCAAAACGTGAAGATATTAAAAAAATTATAAATAACAACTCAAATGTTTACACCTTAGCAGATATGCATATAATAAGCGGTGATCAAGCTAATAAACAACGCATAAAACGTTTGCTTAAACGTATGCCAAAAGAAGATCGTGAGAAGGTCAACTCGCTTGTTGTTGAAAAGATATCATCAACATTTCCGAATGAAGTTATGTTTCCGGACTTGGATGTCTTTAAAGAAAGTGTTGAAGTTGATAATATAGCATATTTGCTGTCGTTTTTACGCATTGATGAAATTGCACTCACCCTAAATCACAGTAATTCCCTAAATGAAACTAGTGATATGCCAACACTCTTCTTTTCTGAAGCAGATGAAACCATACTTTTTCGCACTGTATGCATACCCTCGCCAACATCCCAAAAATCTTTAGAACCAGTTGATGAATTACTCGAAAAAACAATGGGTGTTTCTGAAAGCAATTTACCTATTGAAAGCACAACTAATAAAGAAACATGGTCTGTTAGTCCTACATCGATCATTTACAATTTGAATAACAAACGACGTGATAAACGTCTTTCTTCGCTTCTTATTAAAAATTTTTTTAAATCTCGGCAATATTTCGATGTAACTTGCAGTCAGAAAAACTTATTTACTTTTACACCCAATCAAGGTTTTATTGAACCTGAAGGCGGACAGATCGAAGTAGATGTACATGCCATAGGAAAACCCACTGATGATCTGCTGAAAGCCAGAGTTTTTATTTTAGTAAGTTTCAATGGGATGGATCATTGTAATTTTAAAAGATTTAAAATTTTTTTTTTTTAATTTTAGGTTTACTTGGATAACTATCGAATCACAGTGCCAGTTACGTTCCAACTAAATAAGTGAACAAACAAATCCTCAAGCATTAAGTTATTAGCTTTAGTTATTAAACTTTTATTAAAAATTTACACGATTGTATTTTGCTGCATTTAATTTTTATTTTATATTTGCATAATTTGTGCCTCAACTATTTTTTCAACTTTTATTTCTCATCATTTTTATGCATTCATTATTTTGAAACAACATTGTTTTAAAATTATTATATAAATAAAATTTTAATAAAATCAATTTTGTTATTATTAGATATATGTATACTATAAATATAAATAAGCGTAAAAGAAAGCCTTGTAATAACGTTATGGCTTTAAGAATATAATAAGTTCAACTTCTTATCTTAAGATAAGCACACTCTTGTTTAAAATGAGGGATATGAACCCGATTTATAGTGTGATTGAATTGAATCTTTATGGGTCTGAATCAGATAACTGTAAAGGATCGTAATTTGAACACTAAAATAAACTTACTCATACTTTCCAAACATGTTATTATAATTGATTGCGTTAATAAGGGACGGGTGCCGGTAAATCGAAAACAAAAGACTGCGAACAATTTCTTCTTATGAATACTCATAAACACTCACTATTTACTATTCTTATCCTTTATATGCAAAACCATTATTGGGCGTCTGTGATTGTGTTCTCGGCTTAAACTTCTTACAATGTTACGCAGACAGTCATCGTCACGTCACGTTGTTTTCTCAATGTAAATAAAAATTTGAGAATGAAAGCAAGAAAAAAATTTTGATTTAACTGTGGTCATACAGTTTCTAAGCGTTAGCCAAAACGCCATAACTCACTTTTAGAAGTATTTTAGCAGCAAATATATGTATTTTTTAGTGGATATGTGAGGGCATAAAGTCAGATTAAATATGTATAAGCAAAATGCATTCAATACTTAATTATGACGTGTGTTGCTTAACCATTGTAGTTCTCAGCTTGCAAATAGTTCCGACTTGGACAACACTGAACTGTACCATTTCCGGATTTAATGCAGTTCACAGTCGATGTTCCCCCAAATTTTTTTGTTGACTTCGCAACATAAAACTATAGAAAAGCAAAAATGTATGTTTATAAATATTCTCCGTGTGTGGTTTTGAAGTTATATATATATATCCATATGCCATTTAGTAATCATCTCACATGTGCCTTATTGAAGGTCACCATAATTATATTTTCCAATGAAACGACTAACTACTTGAGCGTTATATTTGATAAAACATTCATTTGGAATACTCATCTTGTAAACGCTTCCACAAAAGCAACAAAGATATTCTTTATCTATACAAGTTTTTTTTTGGTGAGCCATATGGTTTACATCCCAAAATGATCTATTAGACATTCAATTCTATAGTAAGATCGTTAAATGACAATATATATTCCAAAAATCAATTTCACAAGGCAATAATTTTTGAATCAGAAACAACTACTATTGAAAAATGTGCGAGTGAAAGTATTAGTAGGAAGATGAAAGGGATCTATATTTACAAACCATTAGATAGTCAAGCTGAATTAAAAACCATATATAATAACAATAACATAATAATAAAAATAATATAATCTACAAATCAAAAACCCTTCAGGCTGTAACGAATCATTAATCATACTGTAGTATTATAATGGATCCTAGACGATAAAAAAAAGGAAACGCTGATTTGTTGGTCAAAACAATGTCAAATATGCCATTAATGGCTCTCAGCCTCTCTATCGACTCACAAAAAGCCAATTGAACGAGATCATCAGTAAATGGGAGTAAAAGAAATTCGCAGACCATTCGCTTAATAATGTAGGACAATATTTAACAAAATGATATTACCAGCGAAAGGAATATAACGTAAGTAGTTGTCGCTAAGCACGGCTGATTAAGGACTTTGTCTGGTTACTTCACAGCTCACTGCAATCTGTGGTACCACTTAAATAAATTGAGGTCTCCGACACTGATGTCTGTCGGTTTTGTAAATTATACATCGAAAGTTCAGAGCACACTGTTTGTGAATGTTTAACTCTTAGTAGTTGAAGATTTTACCAATTAGGTGATATGAAAAAAGAAAACCCAAACTGTTTTAATTTTATAAAAAGCTTATAATTTTCAGAGTCAAGTATTCTGGCTATTCAGAAAAGATCTATTTAAGCCGCAGTGCCTTTCGGCTTCTATTAACAATAATAATAATATGCTGTGCAGATATTTTGAGTATTGTATAACTTCGTTATATAAAAGAAACCCCAGAAAAAATATAACCCCAGGAATTAAGGGTTCTGGCAATGCAGAAAAGATCTACTTAAGCCGCAGTGCCTTTCGGCTTCTATTAACAATAATAATAATATGCCGTCCAGTTATTTTGAGTATTGTATAACTTCGTTTATAAGTATACTTTGTGTTATATCTGTATAATTTAGATATTTATTTATTCAAAAAAACTCCAAGTTATTATTATTTCACAAGTTCAAAATAAAACTGACAGAATTAAAATGTTAATTATTCTTTATCTGTCAACTGTCATCTTGGCAGAGTTGCCAACACCTCCCCTTTTGAGATTAAATCTCCAATGCGGTGATTCTAGGGTCTATAACGGTCAACAGGATGTCTAGTACGCCTTGGTCGGGTATACGGAACAACTGCCTCATTGTGCTTCTCAGTTTGAGGGATTGCAATCTCGGTTACTTCGTTGAAAGATTGATCTGGAGTCGAAACCATGTTGTTGTTAGTTATTTCGACCACATCTTTAGGTGTTGTTTCGTAGAGGCCAAATGCATCAACTAAACACTTTTCGTTGGCGATATCTTCGGAAGTACATATTTCTAAAGATAACTCATTTTCTTGATCTTTACGGTCACGAATTTGATTGGCATGTGCACGAATAAGTTTGCCATTTTGTAAGCGAACATTATAAATGACGTTACCTATGCGTTCGATTATTTTACCTTTTGTCCATTCAAAGTGTTTGTTTTTGAATATATTGACATAAACGAGCTCTTGTTTTTCGTAAAACTTTGGCTTTGCACCGTGCCTTTTGTCAAATTGCGCTTTCATTTTGAGTTGTGTATCGCACTTGTTTTTAAACTTGGCATTTGGGTCTGACACCAGCGTTGGTTTAATCAAATCAAGTTTAATACGGATATTTCTTTTTAGTAAAACTTCAGCTGGCGATTTACTGTCCTCATTTTGCTTATTCGGAGTAGATCGGTAAACTTGTAGAAATGTTTGAAGATTTTCAGCAGTTACCCCCTTCCCATTTAACTTTTTGAGTGCTCGCTTTAAAGTATCCACAAACCTTTCGGCTTGTCCATTTGACATGGGATAGTACGGACTGCTTCGTATATGACTAATACCGTTTTCCGCTAAAAACTGTTGAAATTGGTGACTCACAAATTGAGTACCATTGTCTGAAACTATTGTCTTCGGTAACCCAAATCTAGCGAAAATTTCTTTCAAGCTGGAAATTGTTTGAGTTGCTGTTATAGATTTTGTTTGTATAATTTCTGGCCATTTTGAGAACGCATCGATTACGACCAAATAGTAGTATGAATCTATTGGTCCTGCATAATCAATATGCAGCCGTTCCCAAGAATCAGAAGGTTTTGGCCAAGGATGTAAAGTTGTTTTTGTGGGCATTTTAGCTGCTGCGGCACAATTTGAACAACTTTTCACCATTGCTTCAATATCGTGATCGATATTTGACCAATAAACGTAGTTCCGCGCGATGGCTTTAGTACGACCTATGCCTTGATGACCTCGGTGAATTTCTTTAAGAATGCGCTTTCGGAAAATTTGAGGTATAATAATGCGTTGTCCGAACATTAAACATCCGTCAACTATACATATGTCGTTTTTTCGGTTAAAGTAAGCTTTTAACTCACTGTTGTTGCAGTTTGATGGCCATCCTTCAGTAACATATTCGAGAATTTTAGCTAAAACCTTGTCCTTAGCTGTTTCGTAAGTAATCATTTTGCTGGTAAGCGGCAGCTTATCAAGTGAGTTATGTAAAATTTGTTTACTTTCAATTTCAAACTCTACTGCAGCGATGACATAGTCTTCTGAAGGATTGATTGTGTTATGTATGAGTCGTGATAAAACGTCTGCATACCCAAAACTGTTAGTTGAAATAAACTTTAATTCGAAGTCATATGCAATCAGTTTAATTGCCCAACGTTGAAGTCTATTTGCTTGATGCACCTTAATTCCCGTTTTATCACCAAATATAGCTAGAAGAGGCTTATGATCTGTTTGAAGTTTGAATCTTCTCCCAAAAACCATTCTGTGAAATTTCGTAACCGCGAAAATAAGCGCAAGAGCTTCTTTTTCTATTTGGCTATATTGCTTTTCTGTGGGCGTTAGTGATCTGGACGCATGACATATTACTTTCATTGAACCGTCGTCAGCTTCATGAAAAATGCAAGCTCCGAGCCCATAGTTAGATGCATCTGCAGCGACTACTATGTTTTTTAGTGGATCGTAATGCGCTAATAATAACTCTGATGACAAAATTTGCTTGAAACCATCCAAACAGCGTTGATGAAGTTCCGTCCATAATAATAACTTGGAGTTTTTTTTCCGTACGTGCTACGATGACTAGTGATTTAAACTTGTATTAATTTGAAATTGTATATTAACCGTTTGCCCTTAGCGGGATTTGAACTTGAACCTCAGTAGTCTAGTGGTTAGCAATTCTAACCACTGCCACTGAGGCCCAAGTTCAAATCCCGCTAAGGGCAAACGGTTAATATACAATTGCCAACACTTTGTTAGTTGCTTATGCATAATAGTAGTACCGTAATGATTATTATAAGCTATAGTTTCAATATCGGTAAATAAATGCATTTTTAAAACTACAGTAATCCCCATTATAACGCGGTACCCTTATAACGTGTTTTCATATTACTCGATTTCAATGCCCCGTATAAGACGGGCATTCCCTCATATAACGCGGAGATTTGTACAGTACATAATTAACTTCGCGTACCTTTGCACATGTGTATACGGGGTATACGGAAATACCACTATAACGCGGAACCAACCTACCGCGTTATAGGGGGTATTAGAGGATTATTGTAATTAAGAATCTAGGATTTTTCTTTTAATGTCTTTGCAGAAGATTTTTGAAGACTAAAGTGATCATACA